AATCACAATGCTTTAAAGATTTCCTGTAGTCTGAAAGAAATGGACTTAAAATAGAACATTTGGGTAGGATTAATTCACTCATGAGCTGCTAGGGCTGCACAGTTACCACAACTTTGCTCACAGTGCAACAGCAGCACACAGCCTTGCAGAATTCGTTTGTACCAAGTCTCCATAGGACCTAGGTACCCCAACAGGAATGGGGTGGGCTCCATAGCAAATATTTATGGTCCCATAGTCCTGGCAACTGGAGAAACTTGAGCTTTCTATGGTGCTATGGTACTGCAGAACAGTTAGCTTCAACTGAACCCAGTTGGGCATTTCAGGGCTTGACCTTTTAAGTATGCTAAACTGCATGTACCTTTTTACACAGCAGCTTCCAACTGGGATTTCGTTAGTGACCAATACCACACCTATCCAGTGCAAACCAGTTTAATACAATGAAGGAGGCAGGTTTTAGAACCTGAAATGGATTATTTGGTATTCTATTGTAAAGAAACTGGAAAAGAATGAGGATTTACATTTTCAGTGGCTTCTATAAAGAAATTTCCTGGATAATTTTCCTTCTCTGTGTCTTCACTGTCCAAATACTGAAGGTAAAGATTGTGTTTCACACAAGTTCCTGTCCTACTGAACAGCTAAGTAAGAGATGTAAAAGGAAATAAGACAAATGCTAGCAGTTCCAGTCATCAAATTGCAGCATATACACTGTGAAACAAAGTGCATTCCATTTCATGCAGAAAGACAACATCAATAAAATGAGGCCTCCCATGGCTCAAATTCAAGCTTAGTGTAAGAAGGAGTAATATCAAAGCAGCAAAGAGAATAGTACCTGCTTAATTATGGGTGATTATAAACCTAGCCAGTCAACAGATTTACTGTAAACTTGATTTGCATTATATGCCAAAGCTTCAATCATGGTTTAAAACCCCTCAAATCTACATTATAATTTACAGCAAGCTAATTGCACGTTTGCAAAGAGACAAACTCAAGGCAGAATCTGACATTCTGAGTATTACAAAGATAATCTCTGGTAAGGAGAATTTTCTGGTAAACTTTACTTGTTAAAATTAATCTAATCCAGTAAGACATGAGGGCTTGTGACACAGCTGTTCGTGCCCACCTTAAGCCTTTGTAATTTAACAGAAGATTTCCCCAAGTGACACTGGAAACGTATTCGTGTAATCTCTGGAGAGCTTCTATTTCTTGAAGTGAGTAAATCCCTACTTGTGATTGCTTATTCTTGATTTTGTTCTTCTCAGGAGTTCAAGGATACTGGAAACAATCCATTTATCTCTACTTTTTTTTCATATGTAACAAACTTTCCTTAAAGACAAAAGTAACAAACTAAATGACATCTGAGCAACCAAAACCTCAATTTATCAGATGTGTGATTTGGGGGAGAAAGGGACCAGCAATTTAACATAACAAAGTATCTTTTCTCTATTATTAAATATAACACCCTATTCAAACATTACTGACCTCTGCAGGTATTACAAGCCTGCTCACTGTGTTTTAAAAACAATTTCCTATGCTGTATACATATAACAGACACTGTGCCTAGCACAGAAGGTATTTGCAGAAGCACCAGCTACCAGTGGCAGGATTGTCCTTTCATGTTAGACTTGGAAAGCTTTTATTAAAGCTGGGCTACAGGAAATAAGTGTGCAAACAGTGGTCTGAAAAGCAGCTGAAGGCACACATTCTTTACCCTTTCAATTAACTCTGGCATTTCAAAATGCAGAGCTGCTATAAAATAATATTTTTATTACAAATATGGTAAAAACAACATAACTCCTGCCATAATACTGTATATAAAGCCATGCTCTGCCCCAGCCTTTTCCTATTTACTGCTTATTTAAGTATTTCTTACCCTTCAGTAGGGGCCAAAACACACTGTTTGCACACTACTGATCACCTGAAATAGTATTTGCTGTCATTTCAGCAGCTGACAGTTGAATGGAGAAACCTCGCACCTTGCGTTACACATTTCAGTCTATTTGTCATTGCTATCTATAGAGTCCTGAATACTAAAAAGACCATCTCCATGCATTCAGGTTTTATAGAAGCAAAAAAGCTTGTAACAGTAAACAGAAATCAAATATGTGAGAGAGGCAGTACCCACTCCCAGGTTTTCCCCAGGTAGGCACTGCTAGAAGCAAGCAGGCAGCAGCTGAAGCTCCATGAGATTTCACAACTGGCTGCAGCACCTGGGTCCAAAGGCACCAGCATGCGTCCTTCAACTCAGCAGCACCACCACAAGCACACAGCTGGGGAGGGAGCCCTGTGCATCCCAAGGGGGCTGCTCCAACACTGGGGAACAGGGACAAGCGCCCAACTGGGACCCCTCCATTCAACAGCAGCAAAAGATGATCCATCAGCTGGATCCCCATCACGGCTGAAGGGCCGAACCTGCTGTGTGCAGTCGAGGTAGACTGCGCCCTACACCCAAGCTTCCCAGGCTCGCCCTGGTCTCATTTTGCCACAGTTTGAATTCTGAGCCTGTTGCTCCCTTTGAGGCCGCTTTTTCTCTTTCCAGAGTCCCCAGTTTTGTTCAGTCTCTGTTGTGGCAAAGAAAATGCTATAACCATTAAAGTACAGAACAGAGACCGAACATCAACTCATTTCAGCCCTAATCAAGTACACAGAGAGGGTGATAACTGCACAGTAAGAAGAGATATAGCGTTTTCTCATGCCACTGTTTTGCCAGGTTTGGCTGGGGAGAACACAGCTGCACACCGTTTCCCAACCCAGCCTGCCCCTGCCACCGGCACACCCCACACAGATTGCGTTCCTCGCCTCCTGAGGAAGCAGGGCTAGGGCCTACACAGCTGTGAGACACAGGCATTTCTGCAAGTGTTTTGTATGCGTTCACCTCCAGGTTGTCGTCACATTAGCAAGTCTGTATTGTGGCAAAGTCTCATTATACAACTGAATTATCCCAACAGTTTGCTGTGAAGGGAGAAGTTTCCCTTGCCCTCTCTTTTCCCCCACAGCAACTCTGTCCACTTAAGAGCACACCCAGAGCCTTCACCACTCCCAGCATCACCACCCTCTCCTCCCTTATGAGCACTGGGGCTGGTGTGCTGAGGCACCGGAGGACATTCAGCAGCATTGGGCTGCTGTGTCAGCTTCATCTGTGACAACCCAGCCCCTTGGTGGGCGAAGCACAAGGCTCCTTACACCACAGCACTTATCTCCAGCTCATGCAGTAGCAGGCATTGGTCATGAACATTACCAGTGAATTCCAGTTTTCCAAACTGAGATCCAGAAATGCTTCCAGGTACCTAACAACTCTAGGAGTTCTGGCTGCAAAGTCCCATCACAGAGCTAAAGGAATGTTTCTTCTAGAGAACTGCTAATGGCATGAACCCATATGAAAACAAATACAAGGAAGAAAAGCAGGTTACTCATATCAGATGCTAATTTAAGTCATTAACTGTAAAAGTAACTTCAAATTTCCTTGGGAGATATCAAGGGAGATGCTTCAGATGAACCAGAGGATTTGAGTTCAAGATGACAAGTAGCCTTGGGAATGGAGGAGGGTGAAAAAAGCTGGGAAGATAAATTAATAATAATAGTAATAGAAAAGGCTGGGTTTGGACACTAATGGTTATTCCTATCTTGCCAGAAACCAGCAGGCAGGTGAATTGCAACAAACCAAGAAGGAATCTTGAGTAAAATCAAAACCTGGCTCAGTGAAGTTTCCCGAGATGGTGAAGCTGATCTAACATCTCAGCAAGCTAGGTGGAGACCTGCTCCCTCCTCTCAAGTGTGCAGCTACATCCCATCTCCTTCCTCTTCCCAGCACCGATTCTCCTCTGACCTCTTGATCAGGCTAGTCAGCTCACTAAACCACTAGAAAACTAACTCAGCAAAAGAGCTACGAATTTCCTGCCAGTATAGCAAGCTGAGTCAGCTGATCAAGGGCAATCTCTTGCAATTGCATGATGGAGGCAACAGGAACGTGAAGGGCAGGACAGTCCTCTCTGGCAGCAGTAAGACACTTGCCATCTTAAATATGTGAATGGGGAACCACTCAGCAGTGGAAAGAGGAAGAGAGAGCAAAGCAGGCAATGTTTGCTACAGCAAATGGGACAGCATAGTGAATAAGAAGTAAGAATGGCTGATTTTTATAACAAAGGGGCAAAATCATTGTCAGCTAGCTGCCCCACAGCACTTACCAGTGATGCCCAGAGCAATAAATTGAGTACAGCAGGCATCTCTGAAAAATTCTGACCAGACTACATAAAATATGCCTTTGTGTACTATAGTAGCAGCACTTCAACATACTCCAAAGGCACAAGGATATTGCAACCCTGTTTACTTGCTCAGTATTTGTGAAAATATTGTTGAATATTTGTGTTAGCAATGACGTACACATAGCACGGTACATTTGCACAAAGGTGATAAAATCCCTGTGCACTTGCAGATCAGTGCCTCAATCACAGGCTTTCATTTCAAGAGATGAGTACTCTTGACCAATGGGTTAGAGAAACTACAGAAAGAGCAGAGTTCAGGTTATCTTATTGCCCTGCCTGCACTTACCATTGAAATACAGAGATGATATGGATCATTAACCCAGTAAGAGCTCCAGCGATTTTCTGTCATCTTGGCAATCTGAGTCACTCCACAAGCACTAGCTCCAAGAAGGCAGCACGACCGCGCAGCCAGGAACAACAGACATTCCCCAGTTAGTCACACAGGCCTGACTCACCTTCTCACAAAACCACATCCTTAGGTTTTAACACCCAGCCTTTACTTTCATTGAAGGCGGTCACCAGAGTAATTGAGGCGATTGTCTTGATTATTTCTAAATACTCCTTTGAATTAAATGTCTCACATTTGGCACTAGTTTCTCATACTGCATGCTGTAAAATTCCAACATTAAGTTAATCCAAGTAATTAAAAAAGTTGAGTTAAAAGTTACAATGCTCAAGAACACAAGAGGCCTGAACTTCTGTATTCAAAGACCAGGTATAAGTGTGCTTTCATTTACTTACCTTTTTGCTTCTTCTAAGTGGCACAGGTACTCATAAGCAATGTTCTGACGCCTTCTCTCATCCATTTCCTCTGCTGAAAGCCTTTCATCATCCACAATAGCTGCAAACAGAAACACATATCAAATTACACGCAAGTCAGAGGCAATTCTTCGAGCAATTTTAGAATCATAGAATCATAGAAATTTACTGAGAACCTAGGCAAATTATGGCAGAAAAGAAATTAAAATAGGCATCTTCTCCTCAAAAGAGGCTTTTTATAGCATGGTGCACAAAGATATTTAGATCACCAAGAAGATAGTGGTCTCTGTATGGTGAATTCTTCATGTTTTGCTTGTTCAAAACCGAGCATGTATTGCTCTTCGTCCATTGCCCAGTTTGGGGGCAGGATGGAGCACTCAAACATGTGGGGCTGAGGCTGGGACCCAGCAGAATTTCAGCATACACATCCTCAGAGGAGTTTGAGGACTCCCATGTGGAACCTCAAAGCAAGCAGCAGATGAAGCAGCCCCATGCTAAGCAGAGCATCAGCAGTAGAGATGGACAGCAATGCACTGCAAAAGTATCTTCAGGGTAACCTGAGAACCAGCTGCAGCTTCAGCAACCTGTAAGACTGCAACAGACAGAGCTTGCCTCCCACTGATCAGGCTGATGAAGGCTGTAATCAAATAAACAAGCTGTTGCGTTCACACCCCTACTAACTGCTACAACCACATCACCTCCCATAAAATCACTCTCCTAGCCTATTAAGGATGACTCTGTGCACATCATCAGCTGCAGATGACCCTGATTATTAACAACCTCTACCCCATGACTGGTGTTCCTCTCTTTCTAGGGTACAGAGGGCCTCTGAGCAAATCTGCAATTTTGCCAAATGTTTCTAGCAATGAATCTGAAAGACCATATAGTAGTGCTAACTTCTGGCGGAGTTTCAATCACAGCATGTGAGACTTTTGGAAACAGCATTCAGCATAAACCAGTAACCAAAATTACACCCTATTTGTGCTAGCGGCTGCCAAAAGAGCTGACCTTGCCCTTCCTCATATTTCCCAGCCACATACTCCCATCATCTCTCATGTCAGAGCCAGCAATCCTGCAGCTGCATCAGTGAACAAGAACAAGGGGCAGCCCTTGCCAAAGAGCAACAGCTACAAAAAAATCCACTTCTAGTAAGATCAGGTCCCTAATCAGAGCTGCTGAGCACCTGTGGAGGTGTTGGTGGAGGCACAAGGGAAGGGACAGAAATGCAGGGCTGGATCCCTGGTGGAAAAAAATACAGGCCCCTCTCCTCCTCAAATGCACTGTGAGATGCTTTTTTAGTTCAACTTGCCACACAGATTGCATATGTCACAAGCAAGTTTCCAGCACGTCCCTGATACAGCTGCCTCATGTAGTGGGTAAACACCTTCCAGTAGGTGATACAGGCAATGCAAGTAAAAGGCACCGTAATAAAGCAAGAAGATGGGCTTTACAAGTACGTGCATATTTTGAAGGCTATAGCTCAAAAAACGAACATAGAAAGGATCCCACATGCCTTTACTAAGGACACAAAAGAAACGACACTACTCACCCACATTTTGGACTCATGCTACCACACATTTATTAACATATCATATAGCTGCTTTAAGCTTTGTACTTTCAGTTTTGATCACCACAAACATTGACATCTCTTACCCTCCTTTGCTTTTAAGATGGCTCTTCCTAATTACCCAGAAGTTTCATACACCGATAAAACAAACGTGTGTCTTGCTCCGAGTCTCTTTTAAGTCTGGTAGCTCCAATAAGTGTGACTCACTCTAAAATGAGTTCTCAGATACTGTAATCAGATCATCACTTGCTATGAACCAAAACATTAGTTTGGAGGCAAATATGAGATGCAGGTAATAAAACACCCCGACTTGAGAGCTGGCCATGGAGGCTGTTCTTGACCACACCACTGTCAGCATGTCCAGGACAGGCTGCTCCCACTCCCTGACACAGCTCCTCTGCTGCAGAGGGGTCCTGGCTCCCCAAAGTGAGAGAAGTATCAACGAGCAACCATGCTGAAATTTATTATATCACTTTACTACTGGTCACATAGAGCTCTAGGGCCACGTTTCAAACGTCATAGCTCTCCCCCATGAGAGCCCCATGGATGAAGACAAGTGCCAGAGGAGCCCAGCTGACCATCTTAGTCAGCTATGGCCCTGTCAGCCAGGATGAGACAGCCAGTACCAGATCAAGCCTTCATCCTCCACTTCACAGCTCTCATGCTCTGCTCCTCTTAGCTCATGGAACAGACATACACCCCTGCCTTCCAAACGTAACTCACCACAGCCATAAGCAAAGCAGCAAAAAAGGCAGCTTGTCTGAAAGTAGGAGTGAGAAAACCACACAACCCATTTGATAAGTATCAGTCCAGGAATTTGCGTGACTAACACTAATGACTAACAATCTAGTCCTGGATCTACACATCCACAGCTCCCTCCCATCCTCAACAAGGACATCACAGATCGAGAAGTGCTGGCCAGCCTCAAATCTGTTATTAAAATTATTTGCCAAGATTGATTCAGATAAAGGCACTGACAGATATTGTGGGATAGTAACAGTTGTTCTGCTTAGGAAACCCTCCAATAATGAGGGAAAAGGCAAGTAACTTGTAGATACTGAAAAGCTGAAAACCCAGATCCTTTCTGGAAGTGACACTGTATCAGCAGCTCACTTGTAGGAAATTAGGCTTCTTTCCTGCCAGGAGCAAAGCGGCTGTTTCTGGGCTGAATATGCAAGCACTGAAAAGGCAGAGCACAGGCAGTACCAACACCTATAGTGGTGATGCTAGGAGGAGTCTCTTGCAACATCAGCTTCCGATAAGACTGATTACACGCTTTCCCCCTCCAGCGTATACTGGCTTCAAAGCAACAGTGCTATCACATCAAATAAGCAGTTACAGACACTTTTAGAAACAGTAATGACAACCTGCGGGACAGAGGTGGCACCAGGACAGAGCTGCAGAGGAAACTACTTTGAAGGCTTGGGTCCTTAAAGTCTAGCCTTCTATAATATATTTTTGGCAAAGGCTTCAGTCTTTGACTAGGGCTTTGCATATAACTTTCCACAACTGCAGACAAATACCCCATGATTGCATCCATCAATCCACCCTCACCAAGTTCAACATGCGAGTGTTTGAAGACAGAAAACTTTGTCTTTCTGCCTAACAGGGTAAATGTTAGTCAGAAAACTGGGAGACCGGTGAAAGAATAAACACGTCTCTGCTGTATCAGTAACTTCTTGATAGTGCTCAACTCAAGCAAGTGAGTGTTGTGATAAAGGATGCTACAGGGTAGAGTAAGCAGAACTGGGCTTCACATGAAGATCTCCAGCCCACTGGTAAGGCCAAGAAGGATACAGGCAGACACAAAATGTTTCAGCTGAAAAGATCCAAACACCACAGAACAAGGCACATGCACGCTACATGGAAGCTATACAGGAAAAAAGGCATCTAAAATAACATACTGTTCAATTCATCAATTTTGTGACTTTTGATTTGGAATTAAGAGGAAAAATATCAAATATTCCCTCAGAGTGGGAATTGTTAAGAGTATATCTGGACTATTGACAAGAACTAATAAAAATGCCAGTGTAGCTAGCCTAAAAGCTCTCCATTTCAGTTCATTTTAGATGTTGCCACCCTGTTATAGTCAACAGTCAATACATACAAAGCATGTGTGCTAAGACAGCAAGTTCCCTCATTATAGACATTCCTTCACTGAAGAACAGAAGAGCGTGTAGGAAATACTGTATGGAGCAGTGACCAGCACTAAAGCTTAAATTGCCACACCTAATTTTGAACAAACACGAGAACAGACTTATTCTGCACTCAGTATGATGCAACAATTGTCCAAGTAAAGTTTTCCCACAACCGATTCAATGGAAATAGTCACATTCTAATAGCAACATCCAACATACTCTCATTCTACATATTTTTCACAACAATAAGTCTGTTTATCAGGGAGTATTCGTAAATTGAGATACTTGAGCATCTTACATCAGCTGACGTATTGTGCTTACATCCACATCATCTTTGTCTGAAATATTTGTCCTGTGTGCCACCATTATGGAAGGAGCAGAACAGGCAAGGCAGTAGCTATGACTAGTGGATGTTTGGGATTTCATTAGAGATTGCAAAAACTTTCTGATGTGCCCTGATCCAAGTCAGCCACTCTAGTTGTTGGCAAATACTTGGAGCTGTCAGCTGCTGACCACAGGGCTGCCACCGCAACCCAAGGTGCTCCACGTGCCTACAGTCAACATGGCACAAGCTGCATTTGCTGAGTCTGACTCAATATTAGTAGACAACATAAAAGCATTTCAACCTTCTGTATCTAAGTTTTCAGAAATGGGGCCATGGCTTCTGAAGCTGCAACATAATTACTGAAACCAGTAATCAGCCCAGGTGTGCAAGAGCCACTGGAGCCATGACCTCACTAACAGTGTCTGGAAAGAGATTCAAAGCTTCAGCTTCATATAAGATATGCTCAGTTTACACAAGAATTCTAAGAACAAGTGCTGGCTGTGTAAGTGTTGCTCATGTTCAGAGTTAACCCTCTTACCACAACCATGGAAAGGATTTTGGAGATCCCAGGGTCACAGAGATAATCCATATCACTGGGCTTACCAAATCTCTCCCATTAGTAAATTTATACTTAGGATGACATTTTACAGGTCTAATTTGCAACAGTTTTCAAATGAACCCGTGGATCCATGGATTGTATTTTTAAATGAAGCTAAACTTGAAACTTCTATAATGCGCAACCAGAGAGCATGCAAGCAAAAGTAGAGTTTGTTTTAATTTCTGAATGCAAATTTATAGAACACTTTGAATAATTTAGAATTATGCCCACAGTTTTTGTTGTCTTAAAAAAATGAGGTTAGAAAAAAATCCCCTGCAAAACCTATAGCAGCTTTTAAGGCTCCCTGGTCATTCATTTGCACTCAGACATATGACTATCTGCAATAGCTGAAGAACTGCATGTGGTTGCTTCTAGCATACAGACCCTTTAATAAGGCATTTGCCACAGACATACCAAAAGACTTCTTATACTGAAGAAGGCAAAGAAA